TTTTTTTTTTTTTTTTTAAAAAAAAGAAAGAAATACGAAATGATGAGAACGTTTCTGTAGAAATTGAAAATTCTGATGAAACTTATTCTCTCAGTCCCAATTTATTCGACAGTCTTTTCATTTTGAGACGTCCTAAAATGGTTGATGCAATTTTATTTCAAATTCATTAATCTATTCAAATTTCATATTTCTGTTGAGATTTTTCTCCTTCAAACTAAACTTTAACCATTACTTTAGTACTTTCTTCCATTATTGCTAAACATAATACCTAAATCAAATTAATATCTTTGTGTCCAGTCAAAACTGGGATGGAGAAAGTATTTTGTTAGGCTGAAAAAGGCGGTCCAACAATCTTATATTCCAATTATTCTTCGGATGTTTTCCTGTGCCATTATGAAGAGGAATTAATTCTTCTGACTGATTTGAGAAATGTTTTTATGCAGCTGCAGCTGCAGGTAGAGCTTTGGAAGGAGAAATGTTGAAAGTCACCTTGTCCCAACCAAAGAACGGGAATGCACGACATCTAAGAGTGGTATCAGTTTTGCCATTGCGGACAGGTTTTCAACCTGTGATTGAGACCTTGAGGGAACTATATCGAGCACAAGGTGGTTCATAGCTATTGTATTCAGGTGTTTGTGTATGAAATTTTTCTTGAGCAGCCTTAATGTTTGTGTACAGATGAATGCATCTTTTGTTAAGCATTACTTTCTCCTTTAACCACATGTTTGAGCTTGGCAGATCACGGGGCACGTCTCTTCAGAAAATATACGCATTAAATGAACGTGAAGTCAATCTTGAGAACAGCTCAAAATTTGTTTAGTGAGCCATCTAACTGCCCCATGCTATATGTGCTATTCAATTATTAAAAGAGAGGATATCTGGATTTAAAAAAAACAATCTTGGATGTAACTAAACTGGTTTAACTGATAGGAAATGCAGGCGATAAGTATATCGTCTTTCAAGCTAGAGAATTTTCTTTAAGTTGGGCATAATGTCAATAAACGTCTGTATCTGAGCCAGACAGATAGGCCCCTGGATCAGCCATGTATTCATCTTGGTCGTAATTTTATTTAAAACAAAGTAGGTGCAGCCGTGCAGGGGACAAGCACATAGTTTTTTAAAACTAGTCCAAATATCTGATTGTAGGATTTCCTTTTAAGTTGGTATGTCAATACAGCTTGTACCAGAGCCAGAGGTGTTAGGGCATTGGATCAGCTGTGTATTTGTTTTTGCGATCAGCTATGTGTTAATATAGGTTATCAAGAGAAACTATATAAAGTTATAGATCTAGCTGTGACAATTAATGTGTTGTGATCTTACTGCTTGAGCTTCACCAACAAGAGGGGAAAAAAGGATGAAACTTTTTAAGTATTGAGCAATATACTTCAGGGTTTTAAGTGTTCCTACATGCACAGAGGTTTGGGGGGAAAATCCATCTATTTGTTTTCCTGAAAACATCGATTACAACAACAAACAACAACAACAACAACAACCCAGTATAATCCCACTAGTGGGGTCTGGGGAGGATAGTGTGTACGCAGACCTTATCCTTACCCTGGGGTAGAGATGCTGTTTCCGATAAACCCTCGACTCCCTCCCTCCAAGAACTTCCCACCTTGCTCTTGGGGTGACTCGAACTCACAACCTCTTGGTTGGAAGTGGAGGGTGCTTACCACTAGAGCAGCCCACTCTTGTCCCTGAAAACATCGATTAAGATCATATAATTGTTAGGGCAGAGGAAATACTCAAACAACCAGTTCTTGATCTTGGTTAAGCTAGAAAATAGATTAGTTATATTGGCCTAGGTATTCTGTTTAACCTCCTTCCACATGAGGAAATTGCAAAAGAATATTGAAGATTGATAATGAATGAAAATTGTTGATATGCTTTCTCAGTTATTGTTGAATTTACCCGTGTATGCCCTTTTCTTATCCCAAGAAAATTGTTTGAGTACCGTGCCCCCGATTAGCCTTTTATGAAAAAGTCTAAAAACTATATCCAAATGCTTGGCAGATCTTAGATGCAAAAGGTTTTACATGATTTAGTTATTTTGACACTGTGCGATGCATAATCCAAGGTAGGGGGATAACAAATCTCAAGACAAAACAGTGTGCTTCACTATATGTTATAATGCTTAATTCAATCTTAGAAGAATATATTCACCTCAAAGATAAAAACATTTCATTGACAGATTTCAGGGTAACCTGAAAAGGTGAAATGTATCTACATGATTTTCTATGTTTTGATGGAATTTTAAAGCTGGAAAAATGTTAAATCTGTTTCAGTTAAGTGTGGTTCTTAAATTGATGCTTCACATGTGAGCAAGATAATCTTCTTAGGACAATTTGCCTTGAGCAGTCCACCTCTGGAGCATTTCGAGTGCTGCCTTTGGTTGGTCCATTGGCACCATATGACCTGCATCATGGACTTTGAGGAAAGTCAGAGGTCCATAGCTCTTTTGAATTCCTTTCTCCTCACCATCTACTGTGAAAGAAACAGATGGTGCAGCCCCAAAATCTTTCTGCCCAGACCATTCCACTGCATGCACCCAATTTGAGTTCCCTGTCCATGTCAAGAAACAATAGTTTAGTCGTTAACTCGTACCTTTTGGATTATTATATGAATTCGATTTGTGTCACAGGTGAATGAAGCTTACCAAGCCAGTTGCAGATAAGGTCATATTCTCCAGCATAGATTAGTAGATTGATACCATCCTCAAGAAGTTGAGGAATGCCTACTTCAAGATTCTTCATCCAATCCGCCTCCATCGCCTGATAAACTGTCGAACTACATGATACAAAGTCAATGCTGGTGGGAACACCGAGGGCTTGCTTAACTTGGTCATCGTTGAGGTAAGTTTCCATTCCCGAGAAGTCATAGCAGAGGGACCCCTGACATATCTTGCGGATATCATAGTACTGCAGGTAAAAGATCACAAAATTCATTTGATGGTTAGAGATGAAAATGCTTGTAGTTGTACCATTGTCTCGTTGAAAAAAATGAAAGAAGTTCTGCATTCTTACATTTTTATCGCCCACAACGTCCATTATACTACTGAAGATGTTTGTGCAATGACCAAATCCGTCCAAGCAAGCATCATCACTACCATTTCCTACCAATATATTCACCAAAAATGTAAAGAATATTTTCTATTGAATTGAAGGAAGGTTCTTTCTTTTCTTTTATGAATTTAACTTCGATACACTGACAATTTAACATAAAATGGGTGCATGTACTAAGTGGGATAAAGAGTTACCGCAAAGCCTAATTTCTTGTTGACATTGTGGATACAATTCATTTATGGCGTCGTAATCAGTTTGATTGATCAATTTCATGTCCAACGCATAGTCAGTGTAGGCTTTGTACTGAATTTCTGGGTTGGTGAGTCCATTACCAATGGCAAATCCCTGATCAAAATAGGCATATAAATAAGTCCAACCAAAACAAGTTGAAAATTACTGAAAAATGACATACTATTTAAGAAAAAAGGTACCTTGAGGTTTATGTTAATTCCTTCTTTATTTTTGTTTCCTTGGTTAACACGAGAAGCAAATGCAGGAATATAATGTCCAGCATATGATTCTCCAGTAATGTAGAAATCATTATTTACATAATCAGGATGAGCCTTGAAGAATTCCTATTCTCAAATACATTGTATATTTAGAATTAGTATTAATCAAATTTTCCATTTGAGAGTAAAGCAAAAGCACACAAAAATTGAAGAAAAAGGGGTGCACACCTGTAAGAAGTCATAAAGGTCATTGCTTACACCCGTTTCATTGCGACGAATGTCACTGTCATCAGTACTATAACTGAAACCAGTTCCTGTTGGTTGATCAACGTATATAAGGTTTGAGACCTGTCGATGTAAGTATTATTCTTATTACTAAACTAGCATAACAAAATTCAAAGAACAAATTGAAACCATTGATCAATGATCAAAACAACAAAAAATTACAAAAAGTTAATGATGAAAAATAAGGGAGAAGAAAGAGAAGGGAAAATTAACCCTCCATGATCAGATGGTGACATAATTTAAAAGCCATATTTGTCAATAACAAGAGTTGAACTACTTTTGAATTTATAAAAATTTTACAAAGTCACAAGTAATGAACAGCAAAAACGTCAAAGAAGATTAGTTAGCTGGTAAAAAGAGACTTTGCACGATAGGAAAAAAATAATATAGTAACTTGCTAATACCATGTTCTCTTTATCGTATCCAAAATATCTAACCCAACTAATATTAAGTAAAGAAATATACAAAATATTAAAAAGAAAAAAACAAGAACCTTGTCCCAGCCGAAATCATTCCAGACAAGAGACATGTTGTTAGATAATTTAAAAGGTCCATTTTCATAAAACAAAGCCAATTCACTGCTACATCCTGGCCCTCCTGTTAACCATATCACTACTGGATCATTCTTGTTGCTTCTCGATTCAAAGAAAAAATAGAACATCCTACAACAAAACAAAACATTTGCATTAATAAAACAAGAAAACAAAAAGAAACTCAAACAATAAAAGACAAGTCCGGTGACAAAGCATCCCGCCAGGGTCCGGGAAAGGGCCGCAACCTAGGGTATGATGTAGACAACCTGCCATAATGCAAGTACTAATAGCTATTTTTACGGCTCGAACTCATGACCTATAGGTTACACGGAGATAACTTTACCGTTGCTCTAGGGTTTTCTTCAAATAAACTCAATAATGGCATTGAAATATAATCATAAAATAAAATCAATACCTTGCAGCTTTAGTATGTGCAAGACGAAAATAACCAGCGTGATGACCCAAGTCTTGGACAGTTGCACCAGAATCACCAAGATAAGGTAAATTCAATTTCTTTTCAAATAATCTCTCTTCATTGGCTAGTGCAATATTATCCTTTGAAGAAATAATATTAATATCATGTTTAGGAAACAAGTTAAGTTGTCTAATGAATTTTTCAGCCATTGTTACTGGGATTTTTTTCTGGCTTCTTATAGGCTTATGAAAAGGCAAGAAAGACTTTGATGATAATGAAAGAGCAATATGAGAGAAAGAAGCAAGAAATAAAGCAAGAAAGGGAATTAGAGAGAAAGAAGAAGCCATTTTTTTGTACTAAAGATTTTGAATGAAGAATATTTGAGTTGTAGAGAGAGTGTAGAAGTTTATTTATAAGTAGGGAATATGAGTGTGAAATGAATTATTATACTGTGTGTATGTGTGTGAAGGTGAAAGAGGGAGGAAAGTGGGGGAAGAAACATGGGATTTAACGGTTTGTTTACAATGCTACTAATTTGGACTATTATTAATTTTGGGGGAAAATAGGTGCATGAAATAGGAAATGATATATATTCTCCATTCACATCTTTTTACTTCTTTTTTGGTTTTATCTATTTTTCTTTACTTATTATATTACAGCCGGTTCGATATTAATTATGCATTTTTGTAATTAATTAATTTCACATTTTGGTTTATCATTTTTTAAAGAAAAAGTGATTTATTCCATACAATTAGCATTATTCCACGGATTCGAACCGGGAAAGCAACCACTAATACTTGCATTAAGGTACGCTGTCTACATCACACCCCTTAGGGTGCGGTCCTTATCGGGACCTTGCGTGAATGCAAAATACTTTGTGTTGCTCTTTTTATTAGCATTTTTTAAAAGTAAATATTTTGGCAGCATTTGTATTTGTTTACAATGCTGCTAATTTGAACAACTCAAGTTAACGTCTTAATGAAATGTTAAACTTGTTTAGTGAAATAGTCCACTTAACCTAAAAGTCAATGAGCACAATGAGTTGTAGTTGGAACTTTCTGATAGTTTCAAGAAATAGCCCAAAATTATCATTGCATTAAACTATCTTAGGAGAGAGATTATGCTTGTGAAGGAAAAATTATCCTAAATTGGAGGGAGTTTCTTAATTAGCATTAAATATATGATGGTAAAAAAAAATTGAAATATTACAAGTTTCCTTTCAAAAATAAAAGAAACAATTTAATACAATCTTATAAGAAGTGAAATCTATGTTTCCATCATTTCCTTTGTTATATCTTTCTTTTGAACTTCTTCGTCCCATTTTATTTTATTAGATTTTACTTTATTAGTTCTGAAATTTTGACTATATGTTTTAGCTTTTCCCCTTTAAGGTGTTACTTGTATATTATCTCAATCATTAAAGAAGTTTACATGAATATTATAAATGGATTTAGCGATAATTAAGGATGTTAAATGACACTATATAAATGGATATAGGATTGGAAACTTTTAATAGTGAAGGGCGGTGTGTTCACAATTTCTTAAGTGAAAGCTGTCAAATCCCACTAATTGTGAAATTATTATAATTGGGGAAAATTGATACTATAATCAACAATTAAGTATGTGGCTTTAGTGAATCCAATATACTTACGCAATTATTTCGTCAACTAATTGCACTTAATTAATCGAATCTGTTAAGCGTAGTCGTCGATCAATTTTCTGTATTCTTCCAACAAAATAAATGAAAATAAAATGCATAACTCTTGCAATTCTTTATTTTATTGATTGGTTTTGAATGATTCCGAAATAATTAAAATAAATAATTCAGCAATTCTTATGCCTACATTTCCTTATAGCTATTCCGGTATTTTCAATCATTTTTTTTTTGAATTATTTTCTTTTTCCACTCTCATCTTTAGCAGTGGCCCATAAAGTAAAATCGCAGGACAGTCCAATATGCAAAAAGAATATTTGCACAATTCTTGTGATCAAACTCTCTTAACTAATATTAAACAAATTTACTCTGTCGACATATCTAGGGTGAAAAAGAAAAAGAAAAGAAAAGGCAAGCTGAAACTTGAAATAAAAAGAACACATTGAGGTAAAAATCTCGGAACGACAAGCAGAAAATATATAATTATATATGAAAATCCTGATTTCTTCTTATTATTTTTAAATTTTTAAGAACATAATTCGAGTGTGGATTTAATATATCTCCTCACAGGGTCAGATCTAGTGCAAATATTATGGGTTCATATGAATCCAGTAACTTTTATCTAGATCCTATATTTATAATAGAAAATATATAAAAATATTTAATTTGAAACTCAGTTCATTGGTTCATTATCATTATATATTAACCTTAGATCATTATAAGAAAGAAAATGAATGTGTGAGGAATTGATATATGTAAATCCTTTAGCAAGTAGGAGAGTTAAAACAAAATATTCAATAGCCGCTTTCCTTAATGGTTAACCGAGTGATATAACTTAAAATTATGGAACCGCATCTAAAGAAAATTTGACGCTGAAGTATGTGGATGTAAAGACTATTAATTTCCTAGACATTGGGATCCAGCATTTGAAACAATTTCTCTTAAGTGGAACGTATATTCAAGGACTAATGTCCCTTAAACCAATGAGAAATTAAGCCTATTCTTGATCAAAGAAATCAACACTTTATTTAATTTGGAAACTTAAATTATTATGCTTGTTTACCCTTTAAATGGATAATAATTAAATTTATACGCGGTTTTAAGAATATGTGGGTTAATCCGATACAAGTGATTAATAATGTTAGATAAACAAATGAAAGATAAAATAACTAACCAAACCAACAGTTGTATTGAATTCGAGCTCGGTTATGGGCTTAACAGTTAATCTGCTTTCGATTCATAGCCAAGATATATATGAATAGTTATGAACAAGAATAAGAGCCTTTGAATAGTTTGGAAACAGAGAAAACACGTTTATATTGCCTTGAT